CTGCCCTGTCCAGGGGGGAGCCTTCCTCACTGCAGAGCTGTGTCCCTTCACCTGTCCTCCTGTCATGGGTGAGTAAAACCCAGGTAGCTCCTGGTCCCCCCCGCCCCCAGTGTCCACTCCCTAGATCCTTCACATTATCCCATGCTGCGTAGGCTTGGTATTTCTCTTCTCACTAAAAATTCAACCAATTCAATCCACATTACATCATTATAATAATAAAAGTTTCTATTTATTGAATCTTCTGGTGCCTGACAACCCAGCAGAGGGCAATACTGTCCAATTTTGGGTATCATAAGAGGTTAATTATGGCCACATGATGAGTGAGCTAGGAACCTAATATTTGTCTACATCTGATTATTACTATTTTAAAACATTAAGCTATGTGTGGGGACTAGGGAGACATGCCAGAAGAGTACAGCATCCTCTGCATGTTTTCTGGGTTTCTTCATTCCAAAAGTGGATGACAGGGCCCTTGCTTACTAAAGAAAAAACAGTAAGAATATGCCCTGGCTGGAGAAGGCAGCCTGGGAGTGGTATCTGGCCAGAAGAGGAGGGGAATTCTAGGTGGCCCAGGTGCATCCCAGAGGATTCTGGCTGCCAGCTCTGACCCTGCTGCAGGAAAAGTATCACCAGATGCTAGGCCAAGTGAGAGACACGGAATGGAGAAGCAGGAGTGCGTGGGATGCGATGATTGTTCTGTCTTCTGCAGTGTGGATGCTACAGGGAGAAAGACCAATGCTCCACTCTTGGCTTGGGAGTGGTTCTCTCAAGGGTACCTTGGGCAGTGGTGACATCTTCCTCCACCTTCCTGAACTTTCAGTTTGGTGTTTGGGCTGCTGCTCAGGAGGCCATAGTCAATATTCTGTCTTTGCCACCAGGGGAGGTCAGTTATCCTCTTAAAGACTTAGTTTCTCAGCCTGATGCAGTGGCCCATGTCTGCAATACCAGCACTTTGGGAGCTTGTGGCAGGAGGGGCAATTTAGTGACTTAGAAAGACCCTGTCTCAAAATAAAAAATTAAAAAAGAGCTGGGGATGTGGTTCCATGCAAAGGCTCTGGGTTCAACCTCCAGTACTGAGAAAGAAAAGTTAGTTTCTCTCTCTCTTTTTTTTTTTTTTGTACTGGGGATCAAACTCAGGACCTTGCACTTTCGAGGCAGGCGGCGCCACTGAGCTAAATCTCCAGCCTGGTTAGTTTCTTTTTTCACATGACTTTCTAACTCCTGAAAACCAGAAACTTCATTTCTGAATGATTTGTGAACTAGTCACCGACTGAGGAAAAATGCTTAAAAATTACATATGTGATGATTTGCTTTTGTTTTTTTTTGGTACCAGGGATCAAACTTGGGACCTTTCGATAGCAAGGCAGGTGCCAGAACCACTGGACTAAGTCCCTGGCCCTGTTTTGTTTTGTTTTTTGAGGCAGGGTCTCCCTTTGTAGTGCAGGCTGGCCCTGAACTCACTATGTAGCCCAGGCTGGCCTCGAACTTTCAGGATCCTCCTCCTGTCTCAGCCTCCCGAGTGCTGGGATTACAGGCATGCGCCACCATGCCTGGCTTCATATGTGATGATTTGTGTCAAAGTCAAGGACAGATAAACGTGAGCGAGCTGGGCAGGCCAGTCTGGAGCTCTTTTAAAGCAATGTTCCCTAATTGTGCAATATTCCTTCACTTAACCATAGAACACACTGCAAAATGAGAAATTCATACCCTATGAATATGAGTATGACCTAGCATTCCAATTTATTTGGACTTAGTTTTCCTACAATTTAACTTTTAAAAAAAACACCAATAGTTAGATAGTATTAGTCATTCATGTTTAAATAAACATAAATTAAAAAAACATAAATATAGCCCTAAAGTCAAATTATGTTTAAACATTTTTTTTTTCTGGTTGCCCAAACTGTCCTCACTTTTCTGTCATTTGTTTTCTCTTTAGTGCTTTAAAAAAAAAAATCTTACAAATGAGACATTTCCTTGGGAGCTAAATGAAAGATTTGATCTTTAGATAATATAATGAAATACAGTGCCGTGCTCTGCGGATTACGCAGTTTCTGAATTTTAGCTGGAGGAGACACTAACTTCAGGAGAATGCCAGCTGCCTGGTCTCAGGGTTGGAAGTACTGTCTGTCATTATGTTGCAAAAATATCATCAGAGATAGGCTGGCGCTCGAAAATGTCCATTGTGGGACACTATTTCAGGAGACAACATTTTACAGTCAAGTGTTTCACAAGTAAAACTGAGATAGCAGGTCACCGTTTTAAAAGCAATAATTCCAGCTGAGTTTTGTGTTCCTTATACTGTAAAAGGTAGCCTGGCTAGCCATTTTGTTTGGCTCTGGGCATGGTAAGGAGCACTGGGTTCAATTTAGGACCTTGTGCAAGATATTAACCTCTCTGAATGTCAGTTTCTCCCTTGTAAAATGGTAGTATTATCTTTTCCATAGTTATTAGAGATAATATTGAAGTTGTAAATAAGACTTATTCAGAAGTAAACAGTATAGCGGGGTGGTGGTGGATGCCTATAGTCCTAGCACTCAGGAGGCTGAGGCAAGAGGATTGCCACCAGTTCAAGGCCAGCCTGGGCTACACAGTGAGACCCTGTCTCAAAAAACCAAAAACCAGGCTGAGGATTTAGCTCAGTGGTTCTGGTGCCTGCCTCGAAAGCACGATGTCCCAAGTTCTATCCCCAGTACCAACCAACAAACAAACCAACCAAACCAAAACAAAAAGTAGATTGTATAATAAAACATGATATAAAATAATTAACAAGCAATTCTCTTTCTCTTAATAGACATTAACATATGGTTGCTTTGAAGAGTTAGTCCTAGAGCCCAGGGCTGTTACGAAGGCTGATTTCTGAGATTAGCTAGTGCTCAGTACACAGCCTATGCCCTGCACTGTTGGGCAGTACCCTGCAGGGAGGGTGTCTTACGTGGGCAGCGGTTCCCAACAGAAGCTGAGGTGTCAGACAGACCTGGGTGGGGCTGCATTAATTCTACCTTTCTGTATCTGCTGTCTCAGAAAAATTGCCTCAGAGAAACCCAAAATATAAATAATTTAAGGGGCAAGGTAAAGGAGAGATGGTAGGAAACTGGGAGACGACAGGTTTTCTGGGGAAGGAGGGGAGGGAGAAGAGGTTAAAATGATCAGTATGTGATAAATATATATATTCCCCCAAACAAGTGTAATTATTATGTCACAGACATATACTAGTATTTTAAAAAATATATAAAAATATAAAAATTGCTTTGTCACAAGCGTGTCTTTTTTGGGGTGGGGGGTACCAGGGATCGAACTTGGGACCTTGTGCTTTCGAGGCAGACGGCAGAACCACTGAGCTAAATCCCCAGCCCATAAGTATGTCTCCTAAGGTTGTGTGATCCCGTCCTGTGTCCTGCACTCCAGGCTCTAGGGAATGATGGATCAATTGGCAGTTGCCAGAAGCGCCTGGGGACGCGCACTTCCTTGCTTAGCTCATGGTCCTCTCTGCGGAGGGCTCTTTCTCCTCCCATCCGCTGCCAGGCTCATACCATTCTTCTCAGCATCCTCCAAGTGGACCGACTCGCTGACCCTGAGACTTGACTCGGAGCCCTTTCCATCTGCTGCTCTCTTCACCACCTTCCGTCTGACCGGCGGGAATGGATGGATGTCGCCTAGGCTCCAGCCTCCAGTGCTACTGGAGGTGGTGCAAACTATTAAGAGATGGGCCTGATGGGAGGCTTTAGGTGACTGGGGACATGTCCTTGACGTGGACTGTGGAATGGTGGTCTCTGCTTCTCAGTTGCCGTGAGGTGAGCATTTTTCTCCACCATGTACTCACTGCCATGATATTCTGCTTTACCATGGGCTCAAAAGCAATGAAACCCACCCACTATGGACTGAACCCTCTGAAATGTGAGCCAAATAAACCTTTATAAATTGAAAAGCTCAGGCATTTGGATATAGTAATGGAAAGCTAATATACCTACTTTAATATTGATTAGTACTTTTGGGCACAGTAGTACCAGGCATAGAGCTTAGTACTTTTATGTATATTACCTCATCAAAGTCTCATAATTATCCTGTAAAACAGGAATGAGTACAGATGAGAAAACAGGCCCTAGAAAGGTTCAGTGATTTGTCTAAGGTCATTCAAATACAGGTAGAAGAGTCAAATTTGAACCCAGACCCTCTGTCGTGAATTGTAATTTCTTTTTTTGTTGTTGTTATTAGAGATCAAACTCAGGACCTTGCACTTGCAAGGCAGGTGTGCTGCTGAAGCTAAATCCCCGGCCCTGTGAACTGTAATTTCTAATGGCTTACAGGGTTGAGCACCCTGGTCATATAGGAAATATTCAACAAATAACAGCTATTATTTGACCTGCCTAATTGTAAACCTTTGCAGGGAAGGGATCTTAACCCATGGATGCTCCCACTCTTAGGACAAAAAGAAGCTAAGTGTAGGGAAACCACAGTGTAATTTCTTTGAGAGCAAGGACCCTGCATTTGGCTTCTGGAATGTCCCAGAGTTCAGTACCATTCTTTCTCCATGACTGAAGTCTTCTATCAAGCAATCTCTATGTCGATTGATGTTTTATTGCTTATCACACTTAGACCCCTTTCTACTCAACATGGAGGCGGTAGGACTACTAAAAAAATAGCTAAAGCTTTTTTTTGAACTGTGGATTGAAGCCATTGCACTGAGCTACATCCTCATCCCTTTTTATTTGAGACAAGGTATCACTATGTAGATCAGGCTAGTCTTGAACTCGCTATGTAGCCCAGGCTGGCCTAGGACTCTGTGATCCTTCTGCCTCAGCCTCCTGAGTGCTGGGATTACAGGTATATGCCATCATGCCTGCCTACCCATTCCTTTTTGAGACAGGGTCTTGGTAAATTGTCCAGGCTGGGTGGAACTTGGGATCCTCCTGTCTCAGCCTTCCAGTGCTGGAATTATAGGCATGTGCCAGCCTGCTTGGCTTGAAGCTGCTTTTTGATGAGATACACAGGAACACCAACCATCTAAATAAACATCCTCTTTATTTTACCAAATATAATTTATCAGTTAAGTTGACATTTGTCAATTCAGTTATAGTAACTATAAATAATTCTCTTAAGACACAGTTCTGTAACTTTTGAAGGATACAAGAGTAAACCAATTTTGCTCCTTGCAGCCAGGCCAAAAGTACATGCAGTTGGTACAGTCAGGGGGAGAGAAATGGACCATCCATTGAAGTCATCTTCATTTTCCTTCCCTCTCACCCCATAGTTCTCCTCTGCTCAATACTCCAAGGTCAGTCAGGGTGTACCCACTTCTCTTTCTGGGCAAAGGAGGACGGGTGCTCCAGAGCACTCCAGGACAGCCCGGCTGAACTCGAAACAGGAAAGGGTGAGGGGCTGGAGAACTTGGGCCACAGCCTCAGGGCTGGAGGCCTGCACAAGAGTCTGTGTGCAAGTGTGTTCTGAGGTGGAGGGAAAGGCAAAAGGAGGCTGAAGCAGAAACAAGCTCAGGCTGGTGTCAATGCACTCTGCGGGACACAACTCCAATTAGGTAACCTCTAGGATCCCTTCCAATTCTAAGGCTCTATGATTCCAGAAGGTGGCCTGGGAGGAGATGGAGAGAAAGGACACTGGCAGTCTAGGGCAAGTTCCTGGATAAGGCATGGTGCTGGCAGAAACAGGGCCACCGCTCAAACCTCCCCTTGGGGGCGGCCCTTAGGGTACAGAGAGAGGGCTCACAGGAAGCTTCAGACAGCCCAAGGCCTGCGTTTGCCCGTCCGAGTGTGGCTAGCTCTCTGGGCCGTTCCGAGCAATGTGTGGGGAAGAGGTAGAGGCTCTAGCTTCTCCCAGTTTTGCGGTAGGCAGAGAGAAGGAGCAGCCAGCTGAAGTCCGGCATGCTCATGCCGAATCCTCTTCCGGGTGTGTGATGAGCAGAGGTGGAGGGAAGGGGAGGGGAGGGGAGGGGAGGAGGGGTATTGTGGGGTTGAGCAGTGGGGCTGGTGGTCTGAGCTGTGGTCAGCATTGCAGAGCTGGGGTCTGGAGGAAGAATGAGGCCGAACCTGGTTTGGCGAAACAAAGACAAGTACCTGACAGGAGGGAACTTTCTCTGCCAGACTGAAAGGGGTACGTGGCCTCTGGAAGCTGGGGATTGAGGTGAGGTTAGCACTGTGATTCCCCTACCCTGGTCACTCAGTGCCTGGCACAATACCTAACACATACTGGGCACCCCATACTTAATACTCAATGGTTCCAGACCAGGCCTGCAGAAGGGCTTATCTTGGGGAGGCTGCGGTTTCTGCATGAATGAATAATGAACATCGGAGGGCAGGAGCCAAGGGACAGGATACCTGCCCTCTTGGCATGGCAGAATGAGTAGGAAGCGATGGAGGCCAAGGTGATCACGTGATTATGTCCTCAGGAAAAACAGCAGCAACAAAACATCCCTGGTTGCCCTCAACCTCCAGGTCGTTCTCCACGTACCCTTCCTCTGTCCCTAATCTCAGAACCCCACTTGGGGAGGGGAGTGCTAGAGACAAGGAGAGAGGTCTGAACAGAGACAAAATCCCAAGGAGCAGAGGGATCTTGGGAAACCTACGGCTGGACATGAATCAACCGGGAGACCAGGCCACTGCTCACTACTTCCTGGATGTGACCTTCCAGTGGAAGACAATCAGAAGGAGGTTGGTGATGCTGACCAGGAAATCAGGAGAGGCAGGTACATGAGCGGAAGCCGGTCCATCTCCCTCTGAGAGCAGCAGGGACTCGGTCCAGAAGGCAGAGAAGAGAGCGGGGATTCAGGGGCCTCGTCTCTGCCCAGTGCTCTGAAGTTGGTCCATTTCTACAAATGCGTGTGTGTATGTGTGTGTGGGGGGAGTGTTACTTATTCCTCTGCTCAACACTAAAAAAAAGAACAAAGAAAACCACAAAACCAAATAACCACAGCCTACTCATAAAGTATTTCTCATTAGGGCCAAGACTGAGGTTGCTAAAGCTAAACCAAATGTCCCCAGATCTCAGACAGAACCCCCCGCCCCAATCCACCTCACGTGGAGGCACCCACCATGAAATTGCACTTGGTGATTATCTCAGAAATCTACTCGTACTGCTTATCTCAGTCCATCTGTCCTTCCTGAATTCTTGCTATCCAAACTTGGCTCAATGTATAAAAATTCCCATTGAAAATAATGAGAATTTGGTATCAAAGTGAAGTCCTCGAAAGATGTGGGAGTGTGTGGTGGAGTAGGGATGGGGAACAAAGAAAATATTCAAATAGAAAGTGCAGAGGGATGGGGGAAAGGTTGAGTGGCCAAGCTAGTCCCCGACATCCGTGTCTCGGTCCCCGATGAGCCAGAGGACATGGAAGCTGAGTGCCAGGAGCCCAGTGCCAAGCAGGTCCCCCAGAGCAGTCAAGTACGGGATGGAGAAGTTGTCTGGGTCCAGGCCTCGGCCCCACATCCAGTGCACCATCCAGTCTGCGATGTACAGGAGGATCAGCACCTGGAGACAGAGCCCCAGCTGTAGCCATCGCCTCTCTCCAGGGGGAGCCAGAGGCCACACGGTGGGACCATTCTGTGCATCACAAGGCTTGGCCAGCCACGTCCCTGGGCTGGGACAGCTTACCTTCTCAGCCTGCCAGCCTCCCTCTTCCACCCTACAGTTACCAACAGGAAGATCGAGAGCTCCTTGGAGAGGAAGAAGTTGCTACCGGTGGGGTCACTCATCTCAGCATGATAGTCTGCTCCCAAATTTTCCTAATCTAAATCCTCCCTCGCAGGAATTTAGCATTCTCGTTTTTAATTCTGGGTCACTCCAATTCCTGCCAGGTTGGCCTCCCCAGGATCCTGGTAGGGGACTGGCATTTGGATTCAGCTTTTCCTACAGAGCTTTATTTGCTGGGAAGAGTGGGATGAGGAGACTGTTTGAGGCTGCTGTAGAACAGTTGTCTGAGTGAGCTGGCTTTCTCTTGACCCTTCCATTCTGCTGCTGTCAAAGAATGCAAGTTTAACATTTGTCCTAGCAAAATAAATTGTCTGCTGTGCTGACAATGCATAGCAATTCAAAATACATTTAGGATTGTTTGCTGCTTGATTTTTTTCTTTTTTAATCAGTGCCCTTGCTTAGCTTCTACTCCTACAGATAATTAAGAAGGATCTGGACATAATCTGGCTAACGGGAAGGACCTTGACCAGGACCAGCAGCATTAACTATAGCTGGGGGGTTGTCAGAAATGCAGACATGCAGGCTCCGTGCTCCACTGCCTGAGTCAGAACTTGGATTTTAAGAAGATTTATGCTTTGGAATTGATGGTACACCTGATCCAGAATTCTGCGGTGGCGTAGGCCTGTGTCTAAATGACTATGTCTGTGTGAGAATGAAATGGTTTCTAAAGTTTAAGTCCCAACACAGTCATCAGTCATCCAGGAGGTTTTATTTGTTTGTTTGTTTTTAAGATAGGGTCTTTGTTAAGTTGCCCAGCCTGGCCTTGAACCTCAGATCCTCCTGCCTCAACTTCCCAAGCAGCTGGGATTACAAGTGTGTGCCACCATGCTAGGCGGGAAGTTTTACTCCTGACTCTACTGTGAAAATACTGCAGTATGGAAATTCTTTTGTTTTGGTACTGGGGATGGAACTCAGGGCCTTGCGCTTGCGAGGCAGGCGGCGGGAACACTGAGCTAGTATGGAAATTCTGCCCTAAGGGACCCAGATGCAGGACCAGAGCTCTTAAGAGCCAGAGCCACAGTGGATACCTATTTTTAGGCTAACTTGGCCGCTCTCCTGTCCTCTCTCCAAGGAAGTCAGGGGTCACAGCCCCAGCCCCCTCACACTCCCCTGGCCTGCATACAGCTGCCTTGCACTCCTGTGGCCTGGCCCTGGGTAAAGTAAGACCCCCTGCCCAGTTTACTCTCTTTCTAGCAGCAGCAGAAGAGTCCCCAAAGCAGAGTGTGGCCAGAGGCCCCTCGAGATGCACCCCAGGACGGGAATGGCAGCAGCTGTCCTCGAATTTAGTCTCCTGAGCAGCCCCAGGTGCGAGGCTGGGAGGCGGCAGCGGCAAAGGGATCGGCAAAGGGATCGGGAAGAACTTTCCAGGGGACTGAGTGTCACGCTCCGCTCCTCCACAGGTCTAGAGGAGATGGTGGTGGCCAGTGTCCCCTTGGGCGCTCATGGCAGGCAATGGAGCCAAGGCTTCTTTCAACCTAGGCCAAGGGATAAGCTGAAAACCTGCACTACGGACCCTCGGCATCCGGCCCCTCCCCCCCCCCATAGGGCTGCACTTGACCGCACCTGCAAGGGAGCCGGGCAACTTGGGTAAGTGCTGCTAGGCAACAGCATATGGTTGTTCTCAGCCAGCCCTTGCTGCGATTCCTAACACACAACCATTCTGTAGTTGGGGGTGGGGCCCGGAGGGATAAAGGTTTATCAACAGGAGATGAGCTAAGCTGGGCGTGGTGGTGCATGCCTGTAATCCCAGCACTAGAGAGGCTGAGGGAGGAGGATTACTGTGAGGTCGAGCCCAGCCTGGGCTACATAGTGAGTTCAGGGCCAGCCTGCACTACAAAGGGAAATTCTGCCTCAGAAAAATCATCCCCCCCAAAAAAATAGAAGACCAGCTAAATAAAAAGTAGTAATAGGGTGGATGGATTATCTAGTGCAGTGGTTCTGATGTCTTTTCGTCATGGAACCCTTTTCTTAAATGAAGCCCAGCACACTAAGCAGAGCCAAAGATGGTCGCTAAAGCCCACCTGTGGGCATCCTACTACCATCTGTTTGAACTACCACCTCTGGTCCATTCCTCTCAATTTGCAGATGTATCACTGAGGCTCAGAGAAGAGAGCACTGGACCAGAGTCACATATCATGTTAGTGAGTCTGCTGGAGCCACACACCGCCTGTTCTCTTGAGCTCTGTCCAGTTTTCATTGGCCGCCCAGACCCAGGGAGAGAGGTGGCACGGCGTCTAATGGCCAAGCCTGGGGCTCCTCTCTCATCCTCGTAGGGCAGCCTGAACCCCTCCCCGTGCCCACCCGCCCAGAGCTGGCCCATACCTGGAGCAGTGCAGCTGTCATGTAGAAGATGATGAAGATGAGGGTGAGGGTGGTATGCCCACCCTGCATGCAGCTGATGGTGTAGAGGAACACCAGGTGTCCTGGGACCACGAGAAGGAAGAGGACCCGGGCCGAGCGGGAATTCACATCTGGGGTTGGGGGACAGAGTGTGAGGAGGCCAGGGACAGGGAGCGGGGTCCTGGCCCAAGAAGGTCACGGTTAGGAGGGCCCGCGCCATGTTCTGGGGCTGCAGACATCCCACTGTCCCTGTTTTTCCATCCCTGCTCCCCACTACCAGGGCATCCGGGAAAAGACAACTTTCCAGCCTGGGTTCCACCATCTGGAGCAGCTGGTAGAGCCCAGGAGAACTCCAGACCCAGGCCCCAGCTGTTTTTTCCCTCCAGGGCTGCGAAAGAGATGTGGGGAGGCTGAGAACCTGTCGTTACCAGGACTGAAGAAAGTGGTGCAAGGGCTGGGGCAGCGGCGAGGAGCTTGCTCAGAGTTCTCCCCGGGCATCCCATTCATGTGCAGGAAGGTGGAGATGCGGCTGGCCTGCACCGCCACCAGATTTCCCCCAACACCTGCAGAGACACAGAGGGCTTAGGCTCAGGGCAGCGAGGAGTTGGTGGTGGTGGGGGGGGTGATCTCCTGCTGTCTTGTCTTAGATCCACTATCCTGTTTTCATTTAGGCCAAGTCTCAAGTCCCCAAGGGAAGAATGAGACATTGAGAAAGGAGTTGTCCAGGCTCCTGTCTTCCTTCCCATGGCATGACTATGAGAGTGCCAGTATGGACACGGGCCATGAGCTTGGGTCCCTGGCTCTTAAGGCACAGGTCTCGCTGAGACTCAGCTGCACTGGCCCGCTGGATCTGCAGGCTCAGAGCTGCCAACTCTACCGTTACCACGTGTGAACAGTACAGGGGACGAGGCCCTGCCATCCTCATCTGCTCCACTACTCTGGCCCTTAGGCACCCAATGCTCTGTGCTGGTTCTGGTAAACAGTTTGCAGTAGTAGGTTTGAGCTCCAAACTCCTCTCTCTGGAACTGTGGCAGTTACTCTGCCTACTTCCTGCTCTGCTCAGGCTTGCCCTGAGCCTGGGAGCCCAACTTCTCCAAGCCACATCCCCTGCCTCCTTGCTGGGTGCTTCTATTCAGGTCTATGCAATGGGAGGCAGCAGCAGGTGATTAGAGCCTGGGAGAGAGTGGTCAGGGCCTGCCCTGCCCGAGGGCAGAGGTGAGCTTTCGCTGGGCTCCTGCAACATAGTTCACAGGTCCCCTGGCCCTTAAGGACTAGAAGTTCCCATCGTTGCTAATATCTGGGTACCTCACATTGCTTTTCAGTCCTTTTACCCTGCTCCCACCTTGTGAGCATTCCCTTCATGGAAGTCTTGAGCTCTGAGCTATATTCTCCTGCCTGCGGGAACCCAGCGGAAACAGAAACCAGCCCAAGTCCTCTCCCCCGACTCTTCCCCTGGTGCCAGGATCTTATACCATTAATCACAGGTGTGAAGACAGCCATCCCTGCAAAGTTGGGGTCCGAGACAGTCTTGTCTAAGATGAGGCCTCCCACGCTAGAGATACAAAGACAAAATGACACAAAGATCACTGAAGGGTTCTGCTCTGGTCTTTGGAATGAGAGGCACAGGCCCATCCAGTCTTGGGGACAAAGGGAGGCCTGGTGGCTTCCTCATTTTTCAGTCCTTTGCTGAGGCAGCTGCTGCTCATAACCTCTTGACTTGGCAAAGTGATGCCAGGGCCAGCTGATGGTGCCAGGTTAGGCAGCCTCTTCCTGTGCTTGCCTTCCAGCTTGGCTCGAGGAGATGCCCATAGGACTCCCTGCCCATGATGACCTATGGCACTGTCCCTTTGGCGTTCATTTCCCTTTCTGCTACCAGCACTGAGCTCCTCCTCAGGGAACCACCTCTCTTAAACTAAGTCACTGTGGTCCAGATGACACTGCTTCAATGACAGCTAGGCTCTAGACTACCCAATTAAGACTACTGCATGGCCAAGGCCACAGTGATTGGTTCAGGGACTGACATGTGACCAGATGAGAACCAATGAAATTCTATTCTGAGACTTTGTGGACCTGGTGGTGAAAGAATCCCTCTATCTCACTGGAATTGGGAAGTCAGCAAAGTATGAGCCAGGGCTGTTGGCCACCATAGAGAAAAGCAGAGGAGAGAAATGGTGAGTCTGGGGCCCTGATGACAGTGTATATACCCCTGGATCCAGCTGTGCTTTTTTAGTTCCCTAGGCCAATACATTCTTCTTGAAATGAAACCCAATTCAGATAGTTCCTATCACTTGCAACAGAAGGACATGTGCCTGACACACTATTAGACGCACTACTAGTGGCTGCTCTGGCCCCTCCAGAGTCTGTGGCAGGGTGGGAGTGAGGCAGGGTACATACTCGGGGCCCAGCCTACCTGCTGATGGCCATGGCAATGATGACGGGCTCCCAGCCTGAATACAACACCTCCCTCGTGGCTGGGCTTCGTCGTGCCAGCACCACCCAGACAGGCAGTAGGGCCAGAAAGATGGCACACACCAGGGGGTAGATGTATCGCCAGTGATCTGAGAGGAAAGGACCAGGAGGAGATGAACACTGTGCCTCCCTGCGCCAACTTCCCTGGCTCAGCCTCAGAATGTCCCAGCAGACCGACAGCGACACTCCGCTAAATGCCTGTCAGCGCACTGCCTCATTTGATTGTTGCTGTAGGCCAAGGAGGTAGATGGGGGCGGCCACGTGCACTTTGGAGGGGAGGAACCCAAGGTAGAGAGAGCTACCCAGGCACTAAACTTACTAGGGGCAGAGACTGGACTGTCTCTTGGTTTGACCCCAGGAATCGCCATCTCCCACCCCTTCGTTAGTTTGCAGATTCCAGTGCCCAGTTCCTTTCCTTTCCCGTTCTGCCTCACCCCTCCAAGAGAAGCAAGATCCACAGGACAAGCAAGGATGTGTGCAGGAAACTCTCCCAGAACCCTGCTGCTGGCATGGATTTGAAATCAGTACCTAGCCTCTCCCCTCTAAGAGCAGCTGTGAGGACAAACTGTTCAAGGCAAATGGTTAAGGACATAGTAAAACATCCTCGCACATTTGCAGAATGACTACTGTCTCTCCCAGTTCCACCCGGAGTCCACCCAAGCCACTCCTGGTGGCTGCAGCCTCACTTAGTTCCAAGTAGAGTCCCCAGCTGATGCCTGAGAGCAGCGCCAAGGTGATGAGGTCGCCCAGGCTGGCAGCGATGGGTGTGGCCACATTGTCCGGGTTGATCCCAATCTTTCGAGAGCCAATGATGACTCCAATCATGATCATACCTGGAGAGAAGTGGAGGGTGGGCCAGGCACGGTCCACACCTTCAGGGCAGCCCTCCTTACCCTAGGGCCCCTTCCCTTCCTTACCCAGCACCAGGGAGGCAATGAAGGCTGTGGCCACACTGCTGGCACACAGCAGGAGGGCATGTGGGATACTGAAGTGGCCATCAGGGATCCAGCCAAAGATGACGGCGGCAATGGATGCCAGGAAGCCCACAACTGTGGCCTGCACCTGAGGAGAGGCATGGTGATGTGCAGAGCCCAGGAGCAGAGCTTCTTAGCTGAGGTCACTGAGCCCTCAGCAGCCCTGCCAGTCAGGCTGGACAGGACTGTCCCGCTCTCTCGGGCTGGAAGGATGTCTCTGTTTATTTAGTTTCACACCAGACGCTAGTACTGGGCAGTACACCCTGCGGGAGCCCAGGACACATTACTGGCTGAATGAGCAGTGTTCTAGGGGCGGGGTCAGAGTCAGGACCTGGGACTCTAGTGGGAAGACGCCCAATCTGGGACCTGGGTGGCCTCCTGGGGAGATGGGACAATAGTTGAGGACATCTCAGCACTCTTGAGTCTGCTCCTACTGCCAGGATCTATGAGGGCCCAAAGACTTCTCCCCACCTGGGGCCTAGAGCGGGACATCTTAGCCATTAAGCCTCCCAGAGCTATTTTGCAGGAGATTCACTCAGACCTGGATTAGCCTTTCAGAGATCCTGACTATGGGGGAAGCTGGGTCCACCCATCCTGCCGCCTTACCTGGATGAGAGCCATGTTCCCAGTGATCATCCGCCAGAGCTCCTTGGGTGTATCCATTTGTCCAATGTTGGCCTGGGAGAGGAAGCGTGAGGGGCTGGAGCTCCAGGCCACAAAAGGGCTGGGGCTAAACCGTTAGATCCTTGCCTGGATGAAGAGGCAGCACATGTGGCCTAAGACTCAGGGAACCGAACATGAAAGTTCTAAAACAGTGAGGTAGGGTTGGGCCCAGGGTGAGGGAGAAGGAGCTAGAGTCTGAGCTCCTGCAGCTGCAAGGCGGTAGGAAGGAAGCTCCCAAGGCGGCTGCATCTCTTCCTCCCAGGATGCAGGGGAGGCAGCAGAGTCCACCCTTTGCCTTGGCTATCTGGGCACCCCACTCCTGTGCGTCAGAACAACCCAAGCTCTGGCCCTGAACCCGGCTTGCCATCCTAGGGAAGGAAAGGTCAGTGGTGGGCCCAGGTTGGAGAGTATCTGGGGAGGAGGGGTGGCACGGACAGGAACAGGGTAGAGCACACTGGGGTGGGTCAGGCCGGTTGTCCCCTCTCCAGACTGGGCCCTGCAGGAACATCTTTGCCCTCTTGAGTTTTACCACCCCCACCTCCCACTCCACGGGCCCTGCATCTGGGTCAGTCCCTGCAAGGGCATGGCGGATCTGAGGAACTGTAAGAGGTGGGACTGGTGAGCAGCCCCTCCCCGTCCATTCCCTTAAGGCACAAGCTGCCATGGGGAATGCGAGCGGCTGGGAGGGGCTGCGAGGCCTGGCTCTGCTCCGGCCCAGCTGCAGAGTAGGGCTGGAGATCAGAGGAGGCCCCCACCTGTGCCGGTGGAGGGACCAGCATGATGCCTGCCTGTCAAAGCTGCACAAACAGTCACGAGGCAGGTTTTGAAGCAGGGGTCGGGGCAGGCATCCAGGGACGGCTGGGACGTCCAGAAACGGAGCCTGGGAACCTCTTTGGGCAGGGAGCCCCTGCCCAGGAGCAGGTCGCCCAGCCTGGGATCTCCCAACACCTGCCCAGCGGGCTCTCCCCTCACTTCGGCCCTGCACTCCAGGCAGGCCTGGGAAGTTGAGTGGCCATCTCCTCGTTGCTGGCTCTGCGCAGCCTGGAGTCCTCTCTGTGGCCCCTCCTCCCAGCCAGGACACTCACTGCGGTGGACAGCCTCGACGCCAGAGTCATTTCCAGGTTCCCCTTGAGCCCCAGCAGCGCTGGCACCAGGATGAAGACCTCAGTCACCTTCTGGAAGACCTCCCAGTGCTACAAGGTGAAAACAGAGCCCAGGAATCTCAGTGCCCCAAGGGGCTGGCATTGGGACTGGCTGGACAGCATGGGGTCAGGGGCTCAAGGAGGAAACGGATCAGCAGGGGGTGAGCACACCAGCCTCCTCTCCAAGGGCCTGGGGAGCAAAGCAAGCCTATGGTTTCCAAACAACACAGCCACCCTTCCTGGCCCTAGAACAGGGGAAACCTCTAGCCTGGCTCTCGATGAGCCACCTCAGGCTGGCCTGTGCCCCAGAACTCCTCTGCAATTCCCCTTCACATCACACCCCCAGTCCCCCGCCTCTAGTCCAGTTCCTCTGTGGCCTCGGCCTTGGGTGGTGTTGTCTCAGCTGCAGAGAGCAGGGCTCCACAGGGCTGGGGCTGGGAGATTAGAGCCTTTGTTTGGTTTCTATCTGCACAGGCTTTGGGCCTCAGCTACTCGCTCTCCTGACCAGGCTCTGAATCCAGACTGTTGCAGGCTGGAAAAGGCCTGGTCTGCAAGCGGCTTTTTGTTTCTCCTCTCCACCCTCTCAACTCACATACCTTCCCCCAGCCCCTCAGCTAGCACAAGCAAGTGCACCCCTACGGGAAGATCCCTGGCCTGAAGATGAGGGCTCTAGTCTCTGTACACGAGGAAACAGACGTACTAGTTAATGATAAGAGGGAAAAATGCAGGAGCCAGGATTGGCTATTTGAAAGCCTCTTTAGTCATAGTGGAAACTGAGGACTTGAAAAAAGGCGGGGATTGTACAGTTTCCCCGGCCCTGATGGGCAGTGTAGTTTCCTTTTTCCCTCTTTATTTGTTTTAAGAATGGAAAGCCTCCAGGTTTGGAGAGGAGGGAGGGGCTGGATCTGGGCGGATGTGGGCAGCTTGGTAGGGAGGCACAGTGCTGTCATGAGCCAGGGCAGTGGACTGAGAGCCCCAGGGTTCCTTCCTACTAGGGACGTAGGGAAGGGCCTCATGCTATTTCTAACAGACTCCTCATGTCGACCAGCCGGGGACCGCGGACAAGTTAGCAGGTTCTCACACTGCTGGCCAAAGTGGTCCATCCTGGGGCCAGACAGTCTCTAATGGCAATTCCAGCACTGCTGCGCTACTGCTAAAGAGCAAGGGTGTGAATCAAAGCCGCAGTGAGGTGGCACCTCACATCCATTAGGATGGCTATTAGGAAAAAAAGCAAACCAACAAACAGCAAATAAGTGTTGGCAAGGGGTGTGCAGACTGGAGCCCTCGTGCAGTGCTCTGCGAGCGGGATTGGAAGTGTGTAACTACAATGAAAAGCAGATGGCAGCTCCTTAAAAAAGCAAAAAGAGAACTGCCGTATGACCTAGCAATCCCACCTTTGGGTACCTTCCAAAAAAACAGAGCAGGGTCTTGGAGAGATTTGCATTCCAATGTTCACAGCCACACTATTCACAATAAACAAGAAGTGGAAGCAACTTAAGTGCCCATCAGCTGAGGAAAGGATAAACAAAGTGTGGTTTACCTGTACAATGGAATACTACTCAGCTCTAACAATGAAAGAACTCTTGTCACATGTGATGACATGGATGAATCTTAAGGGCATGATGGTTAATGTAGAGGCGGTCACACCAGTCACACAAAGACAAGATTGTACAACTGCCGGAATCTGAGTAACCCTTATGTATCTTTATGTAGTCGAATACTGGGACTGGGAGAGGGGGAGGGGTCAGTGTTTAATGGGTATGTTGGGGAAGATGACCAACTTCCGAGGATCTGTTGCACAATACTATGAATACGCTTAGCACACAATAAAACTGGTTAAAATGGGAAATTTTGGGCTGGGGATTTAGCTTAGTGGTTTTGCCACCTGCTGCGTAAGCGAAAGGACCCGAGTTCGATCTCCAGTACCAAAAAAAAAAAAAAAAAGGGAAATTTTGTTTGGTGTTTTTTTTTTTTACTACAATTAAAAAAAGAGAGATGAATAAGATTATCTAAGGGGGCCTGTGTGAGGGCCAGGGGCCAGAGGAGCTAGACGCTGGGTAGTCCCACAGGGAAGGGCCTTCTTTTCTCATCCAAGTTTCTGGTGTGTGTGTGTGTGTGCGCACGCTTGTGCATCGCAGCCCTAACAGGGCCCCAGGGAAATGCTCATTTCATCAAGGCTGAAGCATACACTGGTCTGAGCTCCTGGACCCAGAATTCTTCTCAGGGTCCCTCCAGCACCTAGGACTCCCCTCGGGAAGCCTCTCCGATGGTAGGTGCTGAGAGGAGAAGGCGCCCCACCTCCACAGCAGTTCCAGGGCTTTCAGGCAGCCCCAGTGAGCGATGGCCCCGTCTCCCTCTACAAAAGCCCCAGTGAGCCCATGGGCCTTGGGGAATTCAGGGACACACTTTTTTTTGGTACCGGGGATTGAACTCGGGTCCTTGCACTTGCACAGCAGGCAGCAAAACCACTGAGCTACATCCCCGGCCCAGGGACACATTTTTAGACACAGCTGGTGCCTAGCCTGGGGCTCCAGCTCCCTGCAGCCCCAGCCTCTTGGCTTTGTCTTGTCCTTCCTCCCACCCTGGACAGGAGCTCCAGCAAGGTGAAGCATTCCCTTCCTCTCCCCAGCTGTGGGGGCTTGAAGTTCTCTCGGAGCACAGCACACATCCAGCTCACATCAAGTGCCCTAGCTGCTCCCAAGCTACCAGCCCCATGCAAACTCGGCTCTCCAGACAGGTGAGTGTAATGGACATGTGCTGGCAGAGAAAGGGCCTGAAGGAAACACTGCAAGTGTATGCAACGGACATTTTCTGAATTGTTTTTAAGGACTACTGCTTGTCTTTATTACTAAGAAGAAAATGTATAAAAGCCCCCTGGGTACCACCATAAGCACCCTCGAATCTCCACCAGAGCGAGCGCACGCGCACGCGCGCACACACACACACACACTCTTTTTAACTGCAGGAGGACTGGAGGTATGGGGGTTTCTGGGGGATGAGCTGAGACAGATGGGTGAGGGAGTGAGCAGGCACCCTATGGCCCCTGGCCAAGGCTTCCTGAACCTCACACAACACAGCCTGAAGGGCCGGGGATTTAGCTCAGTGGTTCCAGTGCCTGCCTTCCCAAGTTTGATCCCTGGTACCAAAAAAAAAAAAAAAAAAAAAAGAACAGCCTGGAGCTCATACTGCCTGACCCCGGCGCAGCAACGCCCCAGCTGGCACTTGGGCCATGGCAGCCAATTCCTACATACCTATTTCTTTTACCCACCAAACGAACGGTCTCAAGATGCAGCTCAGGCAGGGGAGGCTGTGACACAAAGCCTGCACAAAACTCTGGGGAAAGAGGGTGCTCCTGAGATAAGGAGTGGGTAGGATGTGTCGGGCAGACAGAGTAGCTCTTCTTCCTCCTTTGGCCTAATCCTGTTCATCCTGGCTGGGAGTGTCTGTCCCTGAAGTCAAACCAGTCAGCCAAGCCACTGGCCTAGCTGCCACCCACACTTCCTGCTCTGCTGGCGATGGAAAAGGGTCCAGGAAGCCTTATACTGTAGGGGGAGGGGCGGCAGGGGAATTACAGATTTTCAGGGCTTCTCAGAATTGCAGCCCTTCTCTCTCTCTTTGGGGCAGGTGGCTCATTAGTTCCTGATATTCTGAAAGTGAGGGAATAAAACTGTACCCCTCACAATCAAAACACATCCTGATTCACAGGATCACTCAAAGTCTCAGGTCTCAGTGGTCCTGCTGGTACCTCTTCCCTGTACATCCACCCCCCTTATGTCCCGCACCTCTGGGGGCCCCCGTACACTGACCCCCACCTGCCTTCAGGCTAAGCCTTCTGTTCCAGGAGGGCAGTGGCAGGGAAGGAAGTCAGGCCCATGAAAAGATGGTGAGAAGACTTAAATTCCCAGGTACAAGCTATATTTTATTTTTATTTATTTTTATTTTTATTTTTGGTACTGGGGATCGAAGTCGGGTTCTTGGGCTTGCGAGGTAGGTGGCAGAACCACTGAGCTAAACCCCCGGCCCTACAAGCTCTAGACATAGTCTGTAAGCAGGCCTGGGAAGCGGGGCTGGAGTGGAGCTTTCAGGGAGAGCCTGGTCAGGTAAGATCACAGTAACCCCAGCCTCCATCTGTGAGCTTTCCCCAGAGGCAACACCTGAGTATACAGGGCTGAACAAAATCTGAGAAAAGCAAATGGGATCCTGAGAACACGCAGGAGGCAGCTATGGGCAAAGCAGAGGGGTGGTCAAGGGAGACGGGATCTGAGCGTCCTGCCCAGGAATGTGGTGGCCATGGGAGCGCGCAGCAGCTAAAGGACTGCTTCCCTCCCACTGCCTCCTGAGGCCATGCTGCCATCTGCTTTCTCATTTTCTTGGTAGACTCCTCTGTATGCACAGAGAAGGGCGGGCTCAGGGAGAGGGCCTGCTTAGCAAGTAAGGACCTGGGAGTCCCCCTATCCTAGTGCAGGAGGTAATTTGTATGGGTGTCGCACCTCCTGCCAACCTGTTACTCACAATGGCTGGCCATAAAAGGGAGTGAGGTGCCTGGGGTGGGGCACAAAGTATCCCCTACCCCCTTTCAGTACTGGGGATTGAACCCAGGGCCTTCACGCTGAACTACATCTGCATGAAATGCGTCTACATGCTGAACTTCTTTTGTGTGCGACAGGGTCTCACTAAGTCTCTAAGTTACCCAGGCTGAGCTCAAACTTTTGATTCTCCTGTCTCAGCCTCCCAAAACATCCCATGCCTTTCCGAAGCCAACATTGGGCCCAAGGCTGTTTCTCTCCCAAATGCCACAGGAAATGTGGCCATGGTGGGCAAGTCAGGGTCAATGCAGCCCATTTATCCCGCGACTCTGACAAGCACCCCAGCTCATTTCACTAGAGGCTGCTGGGCACGTGGAGCCGAGGACAGCTAAGAAGAGACCGAAATCAGTTTCCCAGGAAGAGGCCAGGTCTTCAGTGCAGTTTCAGGCGCTTGCACTGGGCCCACACAGACTTGTGCTCAGCTGCTCTGACCCTGGGACCCTCTACAGCCACCTCTTCCAGGTGGCCCGTCTCTTAGGCACTTCCGGCCTCTGGCTCTCTGGAGGGCATCTTAAAGGCAGGATACAGGTGCGAATCCTTAGAAATCACCCTGCTCCTCCTGCGTCTGAGGTCAGTCACTCTCTTCCCTCCCCCGGATGTGGGATAAGACTTCCTGTGGTTGCAAGTCCTGGTCCTCCTGCACCCACCCCTACCCGTGATCCTGCTGCAGCCATCTGCAGGCCTTGCCCCGCCCCACCCTGCAGGGGAGGGAAGGCTGGGATAAGGCACAAGGACAAATCAGCATTGTCACCCACACCAACTGGACCCTAGCTCGGGGAGCCGAGGTGCCACACCGAGGGCAAATGCCGACCTCTGTGGGGACGCTGGGGCGCTCACAGGTACCCTACAGCCTAGGCCCTGGGGGTCGCAGACTCACAGGGACAGGGCGAGATGTCGGAAGGGTCTTCCAGTTCTGGTACCCTGTGATGTGTGGGAGGGGTGGGTAGGTGGCTTGCTCCCTACCCCTCTAAGAACTTCTGTTCTTGTTCACCTCAGAGGCTAACTCCATTTGTTCCATATTCTGGTAACCATTTCTTAAGGGAAAGACAAAGATAGCAGGCTCCTCAAAGACTTCAACCAATTGGCAAACTATGCCCATGCTGAAGGTCACAGAGATTAGTAGGACAGACGCTGGGGATAGGTGGCCAGAGGCAAGTTATCTAATTTTCTACGTTTTTGCATCTACAAAATGGAGGCGATATGTTTCTTACCTCACAGGCCTACAGGAAAGCCCCTGAAATGCTCCTCAGAAAATAACTCTCCTCGGTTCATCACTAGGCTCTGGCCCTGCACCCTTCCCCTTCTTGTTTGATGCCGAGGAATTGAACTCTGGGCCTTGCACATGCTAGGTGAGCTCTCCGCCACTGAGTTACACCCCCAACCCTGCACCCCTCACTGTGGGCACCAATCTAGAACTTAAAAACTTTACGAATAAGAAAATGAAGGCCACGGGACAGGGACAGAAGAGGTGGACAAAGTGAACCCTAGTTTCATTTCTTCTCTTCTCCCTTCCCCTGCTCACTGCCCTAGAAGGGGGGCAGCCACGAGGGGAAAGAATCCACAACTCTAGGCTGGCTTCCTCACCGCCGTATAGGAATAATCCTCACAGTAACAGGTTTGGGGAGAGGGACGGTAGTACCAGGCGTGACACAGACACCATTCTCACTAGCAAACAAAGGCACAGGGTTCTCCTGAAGGGCTCAAGGTCTCTGTGGACACTACGGAAGGAGCCACCTAGAATCAACCACCTACAGCCCCCTGGGAAATGGGCACAATGAGCTCTACTGGCAGCCACTACAATGCCACATGCAAGGTTTACAGTGCTATCCTGGCACAGGGGAGGTGATACTGGGCTTCAAGCTCTTCTGGGAGACGTCACAGTCAGGGAATACTGGGGGTCCCAAAGGGCAGAAGCCAGCTCCCATCTTGCTTCTGTATTTCTCTGAATACCCAGGACAAAGCTAGCACGTGGAAGGAACGTGATACTCACTGCTGATTAATTTAGATAAACCTAGCACCTTCCAAAGACCGTGTGTGTCTTACTAGGCTTCAGAAACGCTTACTGTTTAGCTCCCCAACCTGGAGGCCCTGGGTTGGAGAGTCCTAAGTCATAGCACGCTCAACACAGCAGGTCCCTGGCTCTGAGCCCCCAGATGTCGCCCCAGCTCTTACTCTTCTTTCTACCTGGGACTCTCACGAAGAGCCCTCTTTGCCCAGGACTGGTTGATAACAGACAGGTGAGGGGCAAAAGGAGAGGCAGCTGTGCCTTCTGCCTGGCCTGCTAGCACTGCCCATTTAGGGCAATAATCAGCTTTTAGGTCTTGTTACGCCAACTCCCCCCATCAGGCATCAGGCAGCATGTGCCCACCCCCACTCCCCCAGTAGACTGTGCCAAGATTGCAAGAAGATAAGCAACATGAAGTGCCTTTAAAAGCTTTTTCACTTCATCTGAGACCCTCTTGGCAGAGAAACAAATTCCTGCCCAGCAGGGGAATGGAGGGGAGACTTGAAACTGAGCTTTCTACCATGGGTATCCTTGAAACCCCAAGTGAAGGGGAAAGAAGGTATAAGGACACCCATCTGGACATCTCCTACTGAGTGCAAATGCTCAGGAAGCACAGTGAGCCACAGCTCGATCACCTCTCCTCCTCCAGCCGGACTCTGGAACCAATTCTGTTACTGTTAAGCAATACTGCCCGACCACCGCCCTGGGTCTACTCAGCTTCTTCCAGGATTCTGCAGAAAGTGATCCAAAGGGAAATAGCATTGTAGCAAGTGGCAGCTGCTTCTCACAGGAAGTGGAGAGGAAGTTCTAAGGGCCTCATTCCCCCAGGCAGTTCACAGTCCAGAGCCACCCTACCCGAGTCCTACCTGCACGATGTCCAGCACCATGCCCGCAGCCACAGTCCCGAAGCCTGCCAGGAGGAAGGGGAACAGCACTTGCAGCCCGATGGAAAAGGAGGTCTCCTTGAGTGGGGAGGGTGGTGCAGGGCCGCGGTCCGTGCTGACGTCGTCACTTTCGTTGCTCTGGCTCCCGTTCTCCAGCAGGGCGTCCTCTTCCCGAACCCCCTTGGCGTTGGCCCGAGACTCAATTACCACCACCTCCACCCCAGCCCCATCAGGCCCCAGGAACTCTGAGGTCCCAGCCAAGGGCTCTCGCCCGGGGCCATCTGAAGCGCAGGGAGAGGGAGCAGGGCCAGTCCCATTCAGCTGGTGGGCGTCCTTTGGCTCCGGCTTAGAGGACATGACGAGCAGAGAGGAGGGGAGAGGAGCACTTTCTTTTCCCGCTTTCTCTCTCTCTAACTCGGGAAAGAACTTAGTCTTGGGGTGAAACCAGGCTTGGACGCCGCGGGACCTCTTCCCGCGGCTCTCTGCTCCTACCAGGCACTACCAGAATTGATCCACCAACAGGCAGCCCCATCAAGCACTGCCGCCCTAAGCTGGAGGAAAACAAGAAACTCCTCACCAGACGCGGCCGCCTGCCACTAGGGGTGCAGATGCCTGTTTGGGGTTGCCCTGCTCTTCGCTTGAGGAGATGGATCTGGCCTCTTATTTTTGGTTCTCAGCAGCAGGCTCCTCAGAGCAAGGGCATTCAGAGAAGGGCCCAACCGGAGTTTGGAGTGACCCCTGAGGCAGGCCCTCTCTGGTGAGTTCAGATCTTTTGGAACTGGAGCTGGAGTCCCTTCCCACTCCTCCTGCTGGGCTGTCAGCTTCCCACAGCACCTCAAGCTTGGCTGGTCCCAGGGCTGTGTCTGCTGTTTGTCCCCTCTCTTCTCAAGATTTCCTCCCTTTCTGGGAAGACCTTGAATTGCCTGGTCCTTAAAGTCACAAGAATCTGTGTAGAACACCTTATGTGGGAAGAAGAAAAAGAAAGAGAATGTTACCATATCCCAAAGCATAACTCCTACTGACATAGTTCTCCCCCAAGGCAGTTAGCAGTTACAGATTTGCTATTTGACTCCTTCCTTTCTCTAGAATTACTTATCCTGTACCGCTACAGGTATATCTGGAGGCTGAGCAGGTGCTATTCCCACATCTTCCCAACCAGCAACCCACCGCCCTCCACTAAGATGCTGGACAGGAGGCCGAGGCATTGCCTTCCTGCAGCAGGCGGTGGGCAGGGTTGTCTTCAGGGAGGGCCCTTCTTGAACCCCATTAAAAGCTCAGGACTATTTAAATGTGAACTCTAAATGGGGTATGTTACTGCCCATGCAGCCGCTCCACTGCAGAAAGTGACTACCATCCCAGGGCAGCAACAGCAAGGCAGCTGCATGGGGCAAATAAACAGGGAGGCTCTGACCACTGAGTGAGGACCCCTAGACCCTCAAACGCCCTAGCCCCTTTGAAAAAGGAAACTAGAAGGGCTTCCCAGGCAGTGGGGCAAGCCTGCTAGACCATGGCCAAGAGCCAAAGGCCTGCCCACTCCTGCCCTTGAGAGTCAACAGTGCTACAAAAAGCTCAGACGCTGACTCGGGGCCAGGCCTCTGTCTCTGCTTCTCTCCCTGTGCTTGGCCTTGTGAGTTTGTCAGACAGGAGGAGGCACTTAGCTCCTTGTGAAAAGTCAGAGGCTTAAACTCTTGGTTACTACCCCCATATTTTGGCTCCCCCTGTCCCCAGGGCTACTGAGCAGTGGATATAATGGAATTCTTAAGAACAAAAACAAAAAACTGAACGTGTCAAGGAAAGAGAGAGAGAAAGAGAGAGTGAGAATAACAAAGCAAAACAAAACCCCAAGCACCATAAGCTAATATGCACTTGCTCCCGTCACCTCTGGCTGTCATGGCCCCACTTTTCTTTGCCTGAAGGAACTCCCAGGCCTGCATCCCACCTTGTTCCTTTTTACTAGAATGGCTCTCACAAGAAAAAAAAAAATTTTTTTTAAAAAAATAAAATATCTATCCGGCGCCTGCCTGGCAAATGTAAGGTCCCAAGTTCGATCCCCGGTAAAAAAAAAAAAAAAAAGATTTCTACAGGTAATGAACAAGCCCTTAAGTATTCCAAGCACTCAGTTAGTCAACTCCAGTTCGGGAAATGTTGAATCGAATACCAGGAATGGGCCCAAGGGAACTGTTTCCTTTTCCTATCAACTCTAGTCACCCTTCAGTACTGTCCCATCTCCTGAAACCCGGGCTCTGTGATTCTCTCAAAGATCCTCGCAGAGCCGGGAGGAAAGCCGAGTCCACTGCCCCTGTGCCAGAAAAGTTTCCGAGTCGGCTAAACCCTGACACCCCCGCCCCTCCGGCCTTCCGGGCAGCCACTTCACCTGAAAGGGGGCTCCCGGGACCGGGACTGGCCGCCGGCTGCGCACCCACTGCCCAGGCGGGCACTTCCGACGGGCCTCAGGCCCTGGGACGCCCCATCCCCTTCTCCCAGGCGGGGACCGAAGAGCCCCGTCTCGCCTCCCAGCCCCGGGGAGGGAGAAGCGACTGGGTGGCCTCCGCCGTCTCTCCACGCTCGGGCTCAGCAAATGCGCAGCGCGCCAGGTCCCCCACCCCCAGGCCCACCCCACTGACCTGCCCCTCGCGTGGGAGGAGGGGGCGCCTGTGGTCTCGGCGGGTGAAGGGTACCCTCTCTTCTCATCACTCCTCCTCCTCGGCCCCCGCGTGCCCCCACACCCAGCCAAGGCGAGCGTCCGGCCGCGACCCCCGGCTCGCTACATCTCGCTAGAACGTTACAGCGAGGCCGCCGCTCGGCTTCCACGAGTGGCCTCGGAAGGCAGGATATACCGCCTCGGGCCGGCGGGGGAACCCGGACGGGGCACCGGGAGTCGAGCTCCCTCGGCCCCAATCGCTTCTTGCCCTCGGACTCGGGCCCGACTGGTTGGCTGCCGGTGGCAAACGTGATCTGGGGCAGATGGGATGGTACCCCCCCACCAAAAATAGATTCCAGATGGACAGCTTCGGCAGCCAATCGGGAGCCGGGTGGGGCCCCTCCCCGCCCCTTTCCTTCGCTCTGCGCGCTGGAGGCGGGGCGCCGGGAGACGCAGGCTGAGGAGTGCCGGGAACTGGGGGCCGGCTGGGCTGGGCGCGGGCTCTCGGGTCCCAGCGCCCAGCGGCCGGCAGGCGGCCCCCAGTTCAAGTTCCTGCCGTCCCTGCTCCCGCTCCCCCGCGCAGCCCGCGTCTTGAGTGTGTCCTCTGCGCCTCCGGCCTTCCGGAAGGCCGGCGAGCATCCCAGAGCCGCGGCTCGGCCATGCCCACCTTGTCCTCAGCTGGACCCGTCACCTCGCGCTTCCGCCAGGTCTCGAGTTCACCTAAGCAAGTGGCTCAGCCCGGAACCGACCCGGCCTTAATAAAGTCTCAGCCTCGAAAGGAGGGAGGCGGGAGAGGTCAGGTTCTGGCTGGGGTCGGCCCGTCTCACCTGAGGCGAGGGCGGAGGGCAGCCTCGGGGTCGAATGCGGGGAGAGGTCCCCATCCGGGGACAAAGGAAGTCCAACTTTCCCTGACGCACCTGGCGGGATCAAAGAGGGGCGTTTCCGAGCCCGCGCTGGCCACTTCCTCCCTGGGGTATCTCGTCTCCAACCAAGCTCAGCATCAGTGCTCTTTGGGATGTTTTTGTGAGGGGGTGTGACCTACCCTACAAAGGAACCCCTGCTCTCAGCCTTTCCCTTCTGGTCGGTGGAACCTGTGACCAGTGATTCCTTCCTGCCCTTTTCCTCCGGGAAAGTGGCTCAGGGGGCACTGGAACCTCACCCCGACCCCTGCCTGGGGTTTGGATCAGAGATAGGTCTGCGGGCACACACACAGGGCGCACACAACAACCTGAGCGGGTTGTTCCTTTGGACTACCATGGTAAATACGTGCACAAATCCCCACCGCACCATGCAATCTTTCACCTCTAGGATTATTCCAACTCACCTGGTGAGGCATTTACAAGGGCCTGCAGTCTCACAGGATCCAGCAAAACAAATGTCAGTGATTTAGAACCCCAGTTTTAGCTTTCAAGACTGAGTCTTTGCCAGGAGACAGAAGTAGCTCTGAGACTGGGAAAGCACTAGGCCTCCTCCCGAAGGATCAGGTTTGTGAATAGGGGGTATAGGGTTGGATGGGGAGTTGAGACTGACTATCTGGAGACTTTTCAGTCAGGGGTTGGAGACAACTTCTGCCTTGCTTTATTCAACAGAGCCCACTCCTTCAGTCTAGCTGTATCTCACCTATCTATGTATAAAATTTTAATCTTCCTCCTCTTCCTTCCCATCTTCCATGTTTTATCCACCTGAAGAGTTCCTCTGTCCTGTTGTATTTGTTTATTTAGGTACCAGGGGTCAAACTCAGGGTCTTGCTCTTGTGAGGCAGACACGGTGCTACTGAGCTAAATCCCTGGCACTGGTGTTTTTTATTTTTAATTGAAGTATACCAGACATATGAGACTGTGCCCAAGTGTTCAGATTAACAAATTATAACACAAGTGAACAGACCCATACAGCCACTGTCAAGATCAGGAATTAGATCATGATCAGCATCCCCGTAAGCCTTCCTATCTCTTCTGTCTCTACCTTATCCCCATTTTCAAAGATGAACTTTGTCTAACAGTATAGATGGGTTTTGTCTGCCTGCTTTTGAATTTTATATAAGTGGAACAATTTGGTAGGTATTATTTTGTGTCTGGTTTCTCTCATTTAATATTATATTTGTGAAACTCATCTATAATGTGTGGTAGCAGCTCATTTTTCAGTTATTGTATGCTATGCCCTAAGTGGATAGACCACAATTTATCTGATGGCCATTTGGGTCGTTCCCAATTTGGGGTCATCACATGAGGTGGATGAGGCTGCTGTAACACTTTAATGCATGTCTTTTGGTGCACTTTTTTTTTTTTTAAGTACCAAGGTTGGAACCCAAAGCCTTTCCACTGAGCTGTATCATCAGGTGTTTTTATTTTTTATTTTGAGACAGTGTCTTGCTAAATTGTCCAGTCTGGACTGGAACTTGGGATCTCCCTGCCTCATCCAGAGTACTGGGATTACAGGCATGCACCATCCTGCCTGGCTCATACTTCTATTGGAAATATGGCTGGGATGTTGGGCGTGGTGGTGCATGCCTGTAATTCCAGCACCTGTGAGGCTGAGGCAGGAGAAGTCACTGTGAGTTCAAGGCCAGCCTGGGCTAAATAATGATTTTAAGGCCAGGTAGTGAGACCCTGTCTCAAAAACAAAACAAAAAAGAAACAGGAAATATATGTGGGAACAGAATTACTGGGTCATAGTGTAGGCAAATGCTTATCTTTAGTAAATGTTATTAAACAGTTTTCCAGTTTGCTTGCATTAATTTACACTCTTGCCAGCAGTGTCTTAGAGTTCCAGTTGCATCATATCCTTATCAACACTCAACACCCCGTATTGTCAATCTAAAAAGAGAAAAAATTGACCCATTCTAGTAGATGCAGAGTAGTATTTCATTGTGGTTGAGAGCACATTTTCACACATTTACTTACTGCTTGGATATCTGTTTAAGTGTTGTGTCAATTTTCTATTAGACTCTGTCTTACTGCTTTGTAGTTGTTCTTTATATACTTCATGTGGGAGTCTTTTGTCAGTTATAGGAATTGCAAATATTTCTATGAGTGTATAAATATGGGATATCTTATTTTGGGGTCTTCTGAAGGATCAGGGCCACTGCAACAACACTATAATATGTATTGAGTGTGTGTGTGTGTGTGTGTGTGTGTGTGTGCATGCATGTGTGTTACTGAGAGTTGAACCCAGTGGCACTCTACCACTGAGCTACATCTCCAGCCTTTCTCATTTTATTTTTATTTTTATTTTGAGACAGGGTCTCATTAACTTGCCCAGGCTGGTCTTGAACTTGCAGTCTTACTTCAGCCTCCCCAGTCAGTGCTGAATTACATGTACCATCGTGCCTGGCTATAATCTGTATATTTTGGTCACTAGTGAGTCCCAGGCTCCTGGCACAAAGTAGGAACTCAGTAAATGTGTTAAATGAATGATACATGACACAGATGAGTCTCAAGCAGACTCAGGCAGTGTCCCCTGTGTTGTGCTGATCATCAGAGTCAAACACCGAGAGTTCCTGGAGCAAGCAGATTTCCTGCTAGCCGACTTGGCTGTAACCTTGGGAAGGGGAAGACATCCCAACCTTTTTCCAAGAAAAGAGTAGAAATAGCTACAGTTTTCGAGCAGAGCAGCACAGATGTGGGGAGCAGAGGTCATAGATGAAAAGACAGGAACTAGCAGCAGGTATCAAGGCTGCCAGATACTTCAGAAGGAAAGTCTCAGTTGGGGGTGTCTAGGTCTGTGAGCATCGTGTGGACCTTTGTAGTACAAGAACACCCAAAGGTCACGTGGTCCTCATCCTGCCTCAAGGCATGTCCCACTGTTAAAGTTCCGTAGCTGAGAGCTCTTCTGCACTTAGAAACATGTTTCCCTCTCAGGGAGGCCTCCTGATAACTTTGGTCACAAGGTCTTTCCTACTTTTCACTAGGAACATTGTTTTTCCCTCAGATGTAGCATTAACTTCCTCATGGCCTGTACTGTCCATCCTGAAGATGGAGGGTCATTCGGTCACGGTCAGTATCTTATTTTCCCTGAAGACTGCCCAGGCCTGTTGCATTCTGCAGCACCTTTTGCTTATTGTCTTTGTCTGTGGTGTCCTCCCCACCTCCTTCAGTTACAGTGCTGGGATCAGGTTGGATCAGGAGTCTGACTGATTGTCCTTACTACAGGGGAGAGATTTCCCCCTTGCATCACCCTATCAAACTCATAGGATCCTCTCCCCAGCTCCTCTCCCTCCCTCCAGGCAGTGTGGCTAATCATTGTGCTAGAAATTTCTGACTAAGGTAAGGATGGGCTAGCAGTCTCCTTGTAGAGAAGCTGGGTGACTTGTCATCAGGTGACATTTGAAGAGCAAGTCCAGAATTTTCACTTAGAGTATGGATCTATTCGGCGGTGGAGGTGGTTGTGGGAACAGAATTGTTGATCATTGCTAGGGATCCGTGGGAGCTGGTGAGGGGAAGGCTTCTAGAGGCAGCCTTCTTCAGTCTTGCTTAGCACGGTCCTGATACATGGGTCATTTAACCTCTATCCTGACCTTCCCTGGCACCACGGCCTTCCTTCAAGGACAGCTGCTATCCTCCCAGGACTTCTCCATGGATGATCTGGGCACTCATCCCGAAGCTCCATAAGATTCCAGAGCTGCACAGATCCTAGACACCCTCACTAGCTTAGCAGAGTCACAAGACTAACCTGATGTGGGTGGAAACTTTTCTGGGTCTTGTTTTGCTGGGAAAAGGTACCCCCTCCCATTTTTCCCCTTGCTGTAACCCCTCCCCTGCGTCTCCCTCGCAGAGGTCAATGTCTTTCCGCTGCACAGAGCTGAGGTGATATCCCCTTCCGGCTTCATTCCGTTCTAGGAGGATGTGGTGATGGGGTGGGGTGGAGGGGACAGGGAAGTGTGGCCATCTGGGCACAGAGCTAGTTGCTGTCACCATCCCCTTGTCTTCCCTCCTGCTGGGCTCCTATTTCCCAATGCCCCTTGGATACCCACCCTGGGATTCCTGTAGGCAGGGTGATTCCAGGTGTTTTGGAGCTGTAGTTCTGAAATTACTGGGCAGAGCTAGGAAGACTTTATAGCCAGCAAATAATCTGATGAATTGTAACCAGGGATAGAGAAGTAATCTTTGAGAGGCAATGCTGCAAGTGGAGTGTGCCACAGCAGTGTAATCACAGGGCTGAATTCATGCTCAGCTGTGTATTAGGCATGTGACCATAGGCAAGCTCTGGTGTCTGATGTCTCAGAACCATATCTATAAAGAGGAGACATAAAAAATAATAAATGGCAGACACTACTCCCCCTTTCAGAAATGCTGAGAGGATTAGTGATAAAATAGGACTTGGAAAATTCTTTG